GGAAAAAATTGACGAAGGAAATATCTTTTATGCCAACTTACCGAAAGATATTCAGCACTGAAAAGGTTATTTTTTTCAGGCTAATAAATACTCCGGCGAAATCCAAATTAAAGAAGTGGGGAAAATATTGGATATTAAATTCACGGATTACAATTTTTCTGAAAATAATGAAAAACAACAACCTTATCAATTTTATTTAGAAAAAATCAAGAAATTAAAAAAATATGCCGAATAATCAATATCATTCACTCAAAAAAGAAAAAACTAAAATTAGTTGATTTTACTTGTTTAGGAAGTTTACTCCCCAAACTTTACTCCATTATTTATTCGGATTTTTAAGTGCTTTTATTAATGTCGAAATAATAGGCATAATCGGCAAGATGGTGGAAGATGGAAATTTATCTTATTTAAAAGACAACTCACTCGAAGTAATAGGCCGTTTAGTTCTTTACGGTATCATTGTGTTTACCCACATTGCCTTAGGGCAATACCTAGAAGAATTATACAGTTCTTATTTACGAAAAAAACTAACCCAAGAATATTTGCGGGCCAACTTTTCCCAAACTCAAAAAACTAAGTTCATTTTGAGTAATTATGAAAGTGATGCAGTTGTCGTCGGAAATCAAGCGGCTCGAATTTTTAATCGTTGTTTTTATGCGGCTGCTTCAATAATTTTTCTGTTTTGGAAACTTGGGAAGAATGAAAAACAAAAAGGACTTATCCCATTGGTTTTCCTTGCTCTTCTTTTTCTTGCTGTAATAGCAACTTTGCTTTACCAATTAACTTATCACTACCGCAAAAGAAGAAATCGGGTTGTTTACCAAGAAAATAAACAATTTGAAGAGATAAAAAATAATCTTGAATACATTAAAATTACCGGTGCCGAAGCAATTGAAATCCGGAAAAACAAAAAGTCAATGAAAGATACTGCTAAAAATCTTTTTCCGTTGGCTCTCTCCAAATCTCTTTATGGCACCATTCCTAATTATATTCTCCTAGATTATATGCCAGTTGTTCTTTTACTTTGCCTTGGGAAAGGAATTTGGGCGGCTTTATACATTCCATTAAAAGAATTATTTAGTCAGTGAAAAAAACTCTTTGAAATGCTGTGAGCTCATGGAGGATATGATATTTACCATTTAAGTTTAAAGCAATTAAATAATGCGTTTGCTATTTTGGAGAAAAATCCCGATTTTCCTGCTAAAACTTCCCAAAAAACTCTGCCGGCAAAAAAACTTAGCATTAATTTTCAAAATGTTAACTTTGCTTACTCCACTACTAACAAAAAAATATTAGATAAATTTTCTTTCACCTTTCAGCAGGGAAAAAAATACTCAATTGTTGGACCAAATGGGGTCGGAAAAAGCACCTTATTCAAATTAATTATCAAACTTTATCAACCCCAACAAGGAATTATTAAACTAAATGATACTGAATTGGAAAAAGTTGATAACTCAGCCTTGCGAAAAAAAATTGTTTATTTACCCAACCATCCTTCTTTTTTCAATACCAGTCTAGGTAATAATATAGTTTACCCCGACATTTATCAAAAAAATATCCACCAAGAAAAATTGGAAAAAATTGCTAAAAAGTTAGGAATTAAAGAATTTATCGACCAATTGCCAAATCGTTGAGAAACTATGATTGAGGAAAAAGGGCAAAATCTCTCCGCAGGGCAAAAACAATTAGTTAGTTTAATGCGAGCCTTGGTTAAAGATTATGAAATTTACCTTTTTGATGAATTTTTAAGTAATGTCAATAATGAACTAAAAGAAAAAATAGTGGAGTTTATTTTCCGCGAATTGAAGGGCAAAACAATTATCGTGATTAGCCATGATGGAGAAACTTCCCAATATGTCGATGAAACTTATAAATTCACCTCCCATCGACTAATTAAAGAAAAGGAAAATTAAAAGAAATATAAAAATATGGCAGAAATAAATAAGAAAAATGAAAATAAAAAAACTTTAATTATTATTGCGGGCGGAAGTGGCACCGGCAAAACTACGATAGAAAGTTTATTGTCTCAGGACCCCAATATTATTAAATTAGTTTCAACTACCACCCGACCACCACGAGAAGGGGAAAGAGATGGCAAAGATTATTATTTTATCAGTAAAGAAGAATTTGAAGTCGAATTAAAAAAAGGTCGGTTTTTGGAACATGTTATCTATGATGGCAATTATTATGGAGTTCACGTTAAAGTAATCGACCTAATTTTAGGAACCCAAAAGAAAAACGGAGTGATTATTGTGGATGTGGCTGGTTTTCGGCAAATAAAAAAATACTGTCAAGCAAAAGGCTATAACTCGATTTCTTACTGATTCAAAGCCGAAAGTAGGGAAAAAATGGTCGAACATATGAGAAAAAGAGGCACCAGTGAACCAGAAATTATTCGCAGACTAAATATTGAAGAAAAAGAAGGAAAATTTGCGACTGAGTTTGATTATATTTTGACAGTTAAAGAAAATGGATTGATTGAAGCAGTCCACAAAATTAAAAAGAAGTTAAATTACGAAGTAGGTTTGACAAATTAGAGTAATTAATAAATGATAAATTGTTATTAAAAACGGATATGGAAAGAAAAAATAATAAGAAGGCAATCAAACTAAACTGATTTACCATTACTAAAAAATACTGAAAGGAACAATTAATTTTCGGGATTTTAACTACTTTAAGTGCGGTAGTTAATTATATTATGGACAGTAATTTGGTAAAAGTTATTGAAAATCTGGTCAAAGGTGAACTCAACCAAAAACTTACCCTTAATTTTTGAAATAAAAAACTTTATACCTTTCCAAACAGAGATAGTTTTTTTTGATTTTGAGCCATTTACATAATTTTCTATTGCCTAATAGTCATCGCCCATGTTTATTATGCTTTTTACTTGGCGAACAAGATTTCGCGATTTCTGAAAGGAAGGATTAGCCGCAAAGTCTTTCAACTCAAATCTTATAATAAAGAACAAGTTTTAACTAATTTGGATGGTGATGAAAAAACTTTTACTCACAGAGTAGTTCATTATCCTAATCAAATTTATTATGTATTGTTAACCGCTTTTTTAATTTTTACTGGCTTAGGGATAAAAATAAAAGATAAGAATATTAAGCCGGAAATTCTTCTTTATGGCTTTATTGGTTTTGTTTTAGTAGCCGTTATTTGTCTGGCTTTAAATTACTTTGTTTATCGACAAGACCTCACTTTGCAAAAAGAAAATGAAAAATTAAAAAAGAAAGAAGATATTTTAGTCAACCATCGAGACCTAATTATTAAAAAAAATCTTACTACTTCCTACCAAAATAATTATCAGCAAACGGTTAATAAAACTTACTCGGTGGCTGATAAAAGGGATTGAAAATTTACCCAGGCAATGGTGGTTCCTAGTTACTCCTTTATTCCCTCCCTGGAATTTATCTTCATCCCCTTAGTATGCTTAATTAGTGGAAAATATGATTTTACTTCCTGACATATGCTTAGCAAACTTTATAGTCATGAAAAGAAAATGATTGAACGCTTAAAAGATTATCCTTATTACTTTTCCGCCCAAAAACGTTTAAATTGGCTACTAAACCAGCCTGAACGGGACGATACCCAAGAAAATGTTCTCATTAAGGAACCAGTAGAAACTATAACTCTTAAAAAAGTAAGTTTTGCCTATCCAGAAAACAAGTCAGTGCTGAAAAATTTAGATTGACGGTTCCAAAGGGGGAAAATTAATTATTTAACCGGAGAAAATGGCTTTGGTAAGAGCACCATAATCAGTCTCATTATGGGCTTACATCAACCCAGCAGAGGTGAGATTTTAATTAATAATAATCATAAATTAAATAAATTAAACTTAATAAAGTGACGAGAAAAAATTGCTTATGCGGAACACGAAAATTTAGTGGAAAATGGTCTGTCAACGGGTCAAAAACAATTAGCCGATTTGAATAATCTTTTTGCCAATAGCGAAGACAAAGAAATATTTATTTTTGATGAAGCCGATAATGCCTTAGATGAGAATAACAAAAAAGAGTTTCGCCAAAAAATAGAGAAGATTAGCAAGAAAAAAATAGTTATTCTAATAAGTCATTAAAAAAGTGGCTGATTTTGAAATTAGTAAAATTAAAATATTATTAACAATGACAGTTCCAAGTAAAAAAAAAAATGTCAAACCAGAAAAGATATTAGGGGATATTGAAAAACATTTAAAAAGTATTGCGGAAAGAAAGAAAGAAATCGAAAATAATTTCAAAAGCAAGTTAAGAGAGTTAGAAAATCAAGTTAAGGAAAACGAAAAGTGGTTTAAAAAAGAATGGGAAAAACTTGAAAAATTAGAAAATCAGTTAATTCTTTGATGAGATTTCTGGAAGAGGGAAGTAAAAATAAATAGTTTGCGGGAAAAAACGGAAATTGGAATTCTCCCAAGTGAACGAGAAGTAATAATGGAAGAAATTCAAAACCTTAATACCTATAACAAAACCATTGAAAAAGGTTTTAAGGATGGAAAAATTGACGTGGAAATAATGGAGGAGTTGCGCAAAGAGTTAGAAAAGTGAATGAAAGAAAAAAATAATCCGGAAGAAATGTAAATAAGGCAATACTTGGACTTGTTGAACTCTATATTAAAAAACGGAAAAAAAGCCAGACCGCACCGGAGTTGGAACCAAAGGATTATTCAGTTGTCAAATGCGGTTTAATTTTCATGAGGGTTTCCCTTGCTAACTACCAAAAAAGTAAATTTCAAAGCCATTGTTTATGAACTTTTATGATTTATTAGGGGTGATACTAATATTAAATATTTGGTAGAAAATAATGTTAATATTTGAAATGAATGGCCTTTTGAAAAGTATAAAAATTCTTCTGATTATCAAGGTGAAACAATGGAGGAATTCGTGAAAAAAATTAAGAGTGATAAGACTTTTGCTGAAAAACATAGCGAATTAGGTTCGGTTTATGGTAAACAATGGCGAGATTTTAACGGAGTAGACCAAATGAAAGAAAGATGGGAAAAATTAGATAGCGATCACAAATTATTTGAAGGAATGTCTGAGCCTCAAAACTTTTCCGAAAAAAGTGACCGTTATTTTTTATTTACAGGTCGGAGAGAGGGAGAATTTTATAATCTTGCTGTTCCTGAAAATCATTCTGCTATGACCTGATTCTCTAAAATTAGAGACAAAAATACAAGACTTTATCGGATTGAGGGAGCTGAAAATATTCCCTTTGAGAAGCCTTCCAATTCAAGTTATTATTACAAATGAGTTAGTTTAACCGATAAAATAATTATTTCTGCTCCGTTTGATTTCTAAATGAATTTTTGTTATAGTAGATCAGCATTTTGCTTTTTTTGGTAATGTATTTAAAAACCCTAATTTTTTTTGACATACCGTCTGACTAATTTACTATATACAAGATATTCATTTTTCATTACCATAACAGGAAAATTTTTACTATATAATATTATTTTAACAAAGAGTAATTACTAACTACTTACTATATTATTATTTTACTTTCTTTCCACCAGTTGGTTTTTTACTAGTTTTCACACTAATTTTACCTGCCACACTGCTGGCGGCACTTCCTCCTACTCCACTAAATAATAATCCACGAATAAAAGCCCCAAAGATGGTTAATAAAGCAATTCCAATTAAGTATCAAAAGGGGCGAAAACCATTGATGCTAATCCCTTGTCAGTAGACTACGATTTTGGTTAACATTTCCCCGACATATTTAAAAATGGTTAACATAATATTAATTTTTAGGGAGTAGACAATTTAAACAGATATCATATTCTCCAATTGAAGCACCGAAAATAACCCAGGTATGGCAAAATAAACATTTTTTAAACATAATTTTTAATTCATGGTCTTTTTTTCTAGTTCCGCCTTGATTTTATTGTTCCGACTGTTCCAACCAAATAAATAGATATAACTGCTAACTAATTTCCAGTGCTAACGCTGGGACCAGCACTGCCACTAGAATTATCGGTGGGGGGAGTTTTTCAATAACCAACCACTCAAGAGAAATTTAGCAGGGCAAAAATCCCTAAAATAGCATAATTGAGGAGCGGAGGAAAGGCAAACCACTGATATAACATATTGTAATAGTAGATAAAAAGACCGCTACAAGTTCCGGCCACGATTAGGATATATTTGTTTTCCCAAAGAGTTAAGAAGGTTTTTTTAGCATAGCCTCAAATTCACTTCCCTACTTCTTTTAAGGCTTTAACGAGAACACCACCCAGAGCGGCAGCGGTTAATACTTCGGCCATAATATATAATTTTATTTAGTATTTTTAATTGCTTGTCAAATATCACTTAATTTTCATAAGTAATGGAGACAAAAGCAAGCGATAATAAAGGTGGCGATGACGAGGATTAAAGTTAATCATTTCGCTCATTGCGGAAAGGGTTGACCTAGACATTTTTTAGTTGACATATTTTTAATTTTAACTTTTATTTTTGGTATTTTATACACAATATTATGATTTATTTTTACGAGTAGCGGCCGCCATAATGGCAATTAGAATGCCGATAAAGAGGAAGATATAAGTTAAGGGGTGGTTAAAAACTACTTCTCAGTAAGGTTTATTGGATTTCATTCCCTCCTCTAGGCCCGGGGGTTTCATGGAACCTAGGTTTTTGAGTTTGTTGATGGCGGTGAGGCTATCGGTGAAGGAGAATTGACCGCTAAAATGGTTATCGCTTTCGGTGCCGACGGTTTCATCTCCGGCTCCAGCTTCGCGGTTGGCGTTATCTTGGAAGTAGTTGCCTCATTGGTTAGCGTTTTCACCGGTGGTAAAGCGTTGGTTTTCTTCGGTTTGTATTCTTTCTCTTGCTTCTCCTCTAGTCCGGGCGTATTCGATGAAACGGTTGCGACGGTCTTGGGTGTCTTCCCCCGGAGGACCATAACGGGGATTTTGGTTAACTTGTTCTTCGAAAATTTTATCTTTTTCTTTTTTATCTTTTTTGGCGTGGGCTTCCCGGGCAGCTTGGTGGGAGGTGAGGATTTCCCACACTCTTTTCTTTTCCCTCCTGCCTTTGGCTTGGTCTCAGGTTTGTTTTAATTTTTCTTTTTCTTGGGCGGAGAAGACGGGATTATTGTCTACCATTTGCTTAAACATGTTATCGCAGGTTTTTTCTTGGAGATGTTTGAACATCCGATTGAGCATTTGGGCGACCTTTTGGGGGTTATCGGAGGAGGCAATTTTTTTGATAAGGTTAGCAATTGTGGCGGGGTCAGTGAAGGCGGTATTTAAGGCCTCAAATTCTTCCTTAGTTAAGCCTATATCTTTTAAATCTTGGTCGGTGGGTTCTTGGCGGTTTTTATCTCGGCTGTGGGGGGTTTCATCCTGGGAGCGGCCTTTTTGGTTAGGGGTTTGGCTGTCAATTAGTTCTAAGGCGTCGGGGCCTAAGCGGACTAAGGTGCCTTTTAGATAGCCGACTAGTTGGGCGAGGGTTTTGAGGTGGTGTTTTTTAATTAATTCTTGGATTTGGGAGGTGGTGTAATTGGAGAAAATTAGATAGTGGGAGAAGCCGTTGTTGGGGTTGATGGTGGAGGTGTCGTCATCCGCTCAATCAGTATCATACGGATATTTTAATTGGTTGGTTATTCAGAAAACACTTTTACTACTCCTTGAACCTCAACCAATACTGCGATATAAACCTGCTTCTCGGGTCATTAATCCCTTGGCTCTCAATACGCCAATAAAATGGGTTTCATCCTCTAAGTCATAAGCATTTTTTTGATTACGGAAATTTCGGCTTCAACCTCATGATTTTTGTTTAACGCTAGGGATACCAAATAAGGCTAATTCTTTACCTTGAACCCATGGCCAACTACTTCAACCATATTTATCAGCCCGTTTATCTTCTTTTCGAAAACCATTAATTAACAATTCAGTTTCTCCTTCTTTGGCTGGCTCAGTATCTTTAACTAATCTTTGAAAACCTTTAATGGGATTTTTTTCGGTGCCACGATTTTTGGCTCAAAAGAAATTATGGAAGACATTAGTAAAATTGTGTTTTACTTCAATAGTATCCATTCCTAATTGTAAGGTAACTCAATCACCTGAACCATGTCTAAAAGTAGCCGCATTAGCAGGGTCGTGAACTGTTCAACCATGATTTATCCCAAAATCTATTCCCATACACAACCACGGCAACTTCTCGGCTTCCTCTTTCGTCATAGTATTAGGATTACCTAGGGACATACCTAAACCAGGGGCAGGAGTAAAAGGCTGGTCATGGCCTTGTTCTTTACTGTCTTTATCCAAGGCATCAGAGAAGGAGTTGAGAGCCTCATTGAGAGTGGAAGAATTGAACTCGGTATGGCGAGGGGGAGTAGCGGGTTGCTTTCCGTGGGCTTGGTCTTCTCCGGCTTGACGAGAAGGTGATTTATCCCTTCTTTGGTCAGGCTCCTCGGGCTTAGGTCTGTCATCAGGGTCTATATTATTATTTTTAGTTTCTTTATCTTTCTCCTCCTGTGGTTTTTGCTTTCACTGCTCATATTCTGATTTGATTTGGTCGATATCTCCCTCATTTAAAACTTGTTCCGGGGTTAGTTTTTTGATATCCCGTAAAAATTGAGCGTATTCAGCTTGGGTGGGGGATAGGCCAATATTAATTCACTCGTTGGCTTCTTCATAACTGAAACCGCGGCTAGTTCATTCTTTAATTAAGGGGTCATTATTTTTGAATTGGGGATTAAGATTGCCTCAATCGGGGTGATTTCTTCGGCGTTCTCGCTCTGATTGTTGTCGTTCTCTTTCTTCGGCCGCATAATCACGATTAAAACCACTACCTTGGGGGGGAGGGGTGGAGGAAGGGGTGGAACCTCGCAATAATTCTTCCGCTAAGCGAGTAAAATAATTCATTTGGAGATTATCCATGGTGGCTGAATTAGTCGGTTTGGCGGGGTCTGGGCTACCGAAAATATCATTAAATATTCGGGCTCCTCTTTCGGAACCAAAATTGCGATTTAATTGTTCGCGACAATGGCTTAAATAATTAGTTCACTCATTATCCACCAAATTTAAACTATCACCCCCGCGGCATCAACGGTTTAACTCTTGGTCGAATATCTCCACCAGGATTCGTGCCACACAAATCATACCATAATAATTTTTGACCGCTTCCAGGCGGGGACTAGGTGCTAAGGTATCCGGTCAATTGAGACCACTTTTTCCTAACACATATAAATCCGGAACCGTATATAAGCCGACTTTCACGGCCGCTAACCATTGCTGATAAACTGCGGCACTGAAAAAGTTTTGGGAGTTATTTAAATGAGTTTGAAAATGCTCTCAGGCATTTAACATTAAACCATTGCAATATTGGAAATTTCTAAATAAACTTTTGGCTCGGTTAGAGGCATCTGGTCGATGGCCTTCAAAATAAGGTTCAATTTTGGCAATGGCCGCTTTGAGGTTAGTGAGGGAGCCTTCATTGGTTAAGACTATGGCTAATTGTTGTTTAACCGCCGCACTGCGTTCTTTTTGGGCGGCTTCGCCGGTGGCACTTTCGACATACTTTTTTACATCTTCGGCAACTTTGCCAGTGTAACGATAACCAAAACGTCTCAAAATACTACTTCCGAGATGTTCGTTTTGTCAATTTTCAATGGTTTGAAAATCACTATCTTTTAATCGAGGAGTTGGCATATTTTTTTTAAATTTGATATTTGGCTGATTTTTTAATTGTGAATGGAGAATTTCCGTGCCCAAACATGTTTTTCTCCGTGTATGTTTGGGGGTTGTCGCTTCGCTCAAAGATTCGACCGACCAAAGAGCATAATTTTTTTGGTTGGATTAAAAGTTTGAATGAACCCTCCTATTATACGGGGTTCAGAGGGGGTGGATTAGACAATAGGGGATTATGGGAAAATAAGTCCTTGATAATCCCTTGATGGAAATGAACCAAAAACCCGAAAATGGGTAATTACTTTTTAAGGTTAGGCTCGGTGCT